GGTAGGAGACAGCGAATTAAAGACTGTATTGATATTTTCATTGATATACAACCATTTGCATCTGCAGCCACAGCCAGGCATCTTTTCTGAGACACCCTGCAGAGTGATTTACACAAAGAAAAACTAAACTTCAGCCGTTCTCTACTTGACAGAGGATTTTAGCCAAATTGTATACTGACTTTTGAACAGCCCAAGTGGGTAATTACACATGCGATTCACTAGAATTCCCTTGATCCCACCGAAGCATGAATTATTGACGCCAGGAGAAGAGAAAATGTTGCCCACTGGGCTGGCCCTTCATCTCCCCTGAATCTTGACATTTCTGACAAACGAGTCCAGGGTACATGCCTGTCACAGGGTAGTCACAGCATCGACTTGGCAATTCTTCTAGGATTCAACTTTATTCATGTGGATATATGGAAGATGACACTGCGAGATAGTGAACTGATGTTTGCTGGGGTTCAGTGTGGAGAGGCCCCAGGTATGAGGAGTTACACCAGGAATATATTCTGACTTGACCAGATCAATCAAATGTTTATATGCAGTGAAACCAGAGAGTTTCCAATCTTCAGTCAAGCATATTTAATGGTGACTTAAACAAATAATGAACTGGCCTTGAAATGAATAAAGCAGGTTCAGTTGACCTTTTCAAGGCCAATTTTAGGAAGATTATGATTACTTTATGTTCAAGTAACCAATAAAAAACAAACACAAACAAGTCTTACAACCACTAATGCAAAATTAAAAGGAATTTTTGCTGTAGATGACTGCAGCTCCTACAGATGACCGAGGTTCACTTGTTGCTCAGCACAAACACATAATGTGAGACTTTATGCCCCCCCCCAAAAAAGAGACAAAACTGATGAAGGCATGAAAGAAGACAAAATCTGCTCATGAATACCAGCCAACTGGAGATTACTTTTTTGAACACAATTTGTGTGACTCTTGTTACCAAGGCAACGAAAAGCTGACAAAAAGGTAATGGCTACTTAACGCAATTTGATCGGGTGTGAATGTGAGGATCAGATTGCAGGAAAGCCAAATATTGACACTGCTGTGCAGACGAATGCGTTAATTTTGGCGGACAAACAGAGCGTGACGCTATCAAAAGCCGGCTCTGGAACTGGAGGATGTTCTCGTTTACAGTGCTGCCTGCCGCACCACGCAGTGGCAGGACTCTGGTTTCAAAGCAATTCATTCCGGGACTATTTTGGCACAAATATCTGTCTTGGGAATATGGAAAGGTGGAAAACACTACAAAAAAGGTGGGGGGGGGAGCTATTGAAATTAATTGATTCCTCTTATGTATGACTATTGGAAAGTTGATCCGCCTCTTTTGAATTCGAGAAGTTGCCACAAAAAGCAAGCCGTCTCAAAATCAGTGCACTGCATACAATTCTTTACCCATCACTTCAGACTTTCAGGGGGAAACATTTTACCTCTTTTAAGAAAGATCTGGCCAATTTGGACCACATATAAGCTTAGAATTTAAAAGATTCTTTATTACCATTCCCGGTAGTGAAATAGTGAAATAGTGATCTGTTATTACAAATCATTATTTCCTTGAAAGAAGGCTCAATCCACAAATAAAAAATTGTACAGATATCATGTATCTGCTGTTACCAAGTCAACAGGTGCCCCAAGGCAGAGGGAAGTTGAGGTTGATGTCCTCATTTTCTCTGCAGCTTAGTATTAAAAGTTATCATGCTTAAAATTTCCAAATATCAAAATTAACAGCTTGGCAAAATGTACCTTGAAAAATACAGGTATTTCCTAAGCAAGATTTTCAAAGTTGAAGATATGCCTCCGAAAGTCCAGATACACATGTACATTGTATCTGCTATGCAACATATGTCAGAACCTGCAAATATATCTGCTATGCAACATATGTCAGCACCTGCAAATATATCTGCTATGCAACATAATGCCTGCAGATACATCTGCTAAGCAAGCTTTACCTGTAGACATATCTGGTAAGCAAAAAATAGCTTGAAAATAACAAGGCATTATCCATTTGGTTATCAAGGGGTTCTTACGTCATCAAAGGTATTTTGTCTTCATTAAAAATCAAAGCTAAAATCTGTGTTTGCTAAGAGAGCTGACGAACCCTGGTATTTTAATCACAGGAGACAAAAATCACCCCGATTTGGCTTTGGTCCAACTCATCGCCATGGTAATTGAGTCTCAGCAGGCCAATTGGATGAGCCTTGAGATCTTTCTCCTCCTGGAGGGCAGGGCTCATCACTGCCAGAAATAGCCTCCACTTTGCACGACTGTCTGCTGTTTTGCCTCCAACCTGGCTAATCGCTTTGTCTGCTTGTTATTACAGTGCAGTGTGAAAGTCCAAAAGTGGATGCTATTAAAGGTTAACTGGAAAGACAGGACTGGATTTTTCTCATCATGCTTTTCATCTATGTAGAGGCAGCCATAATTTATGTGAGTGGCCAACTGAACAAGTTGACTTCCTGGAAAGTTATTCTCTGAAGGATACTTATCTCTGGCCTAATTAAAGGCGGCCTTATTGCACAGCGGAAGCAGCCAAAATGACAGCTACATATTTCAGAAGTTTGCCTCGAAGGAGCTAATGTTCAAGGAATTGTATCGACAAAAATAGAACTGAAATTTGTTTGCCGCATGTTAGTCATTAATGACGGAAGGATAGAACTTCTCGCATCGCAATCATCCCATCCCCTAAAAAAAGAAATTGTTTCATTCATATGTACGAGGAGTGCATTTAAATTTCAATGTGTGTGTTGTTAAAATATAACAGAAAAACTCCCCAAAAGCCTTAAAAACAACAAAATCTACTAAATTCAAAATTCAATTTTATCTACTCTGAGGCTTTGACCTTTCAACCAAACAACAGCCGTATGTAGAGAGAGTTGTGACATGAGTTCCTGTATGTCATTTTGTTTCCAAAGTTGGCTGTTAAGCGTGGGGTTTCACTAATCGATTGGAAAATGGCAAAAGCCAAAGTACGTGTAGGACTGATTTACACTGTACATGCATGTGCAAATACACCACCAATAAAGGTGCACTTTGGAACCAAAGTGGCTTCTTATCTGAAGATGTCACAACTCTCTCTACATATGGCTCTGGGAGAAAAGCCATCTGGAAAGAAAGTACTTTTCATCTTGTTACTTGTGACCGGGCTAGTCTAGACTGGACTACATGAAGGTCTCAACTGTATCCTCATAAGGAGTGAGTGCACGATAAACCAGTGCGTGTATGACTGAGGGAGACGTGACTGGTACACATGGCGATGAACAAACTCCACCGCATGACTTGATGAGAAAAATGCTAAACTGTGGAATTCAGGCTTATATCCTTTCTCCAACAACAACTTCAGAGGAAGGTATTCAGAGCATTACCAAGGGCGAGTGCCGTATCCTGTTGAGCACAGAGATGCACCTTCTGCTGGAAAGCCCGACTGTCTTTGATTTCTACAGTACACACAGTTGCCACAGATTCATTGCCCGACATAAGACACAAAGGAGACTGGACTTCTTGCACTGTTTCAGAATACTGGCTTCCAGCAGTCTGAGGGACAAATGCCTTATTTCAAATTTGATATGGTTCGGAGGATACCCAAGACATGTTGTTCAAAGACTTTTGCATTATGCTAAAACGCTTACTGAACCATTTTAAGCTGAGAAGCTGGTACAAGTGATTTCTACATTTTTAACTTATTTCTTAGTCCCTTTTAAATTGACATGTATTTTAAAAAAGTCAAAACAATTGAGAGAGAAAAAAAACTCAAACCCCCAAAGAAGTCATATGTAATAAAAAAACCTAACATTCTTGCAATCTCTTGCCCTCACAGGGCATCCAACATTGTTACTGAAACCCCAACTATTCAAAGAAATCCTAAAATACGCTCTACAACTGTACATCACTAGTCCAGTTCCCAGACCACAAGATACCAACTATTTTGATAGACACATGTGCATATATCTTAGGTCAGTTAGCCAACATTGTCGTGTGACTGAAATGGACGGAATTCCTCGTTTCCAGGATTTTTTTAAATCGACCCTTGCTTTCTGTTACTTCCTCTAAAATGCTTTCTTTCCACGTATTAGTCAATGGTGTCGTGGGGACCATTCTCTTAATACTGTCATTTTCCATTTTTTTTTTCATAAAACTTTCTGAAACATTTTGGAAAATGCTATAGGGTGATCCACCGGTATTTCTATCGGGGGTTACAAATGCAAGGGCTGCTGGAATTCTTAAAGCTGCGAACTCTCTTTTATGAGAAGAAACACATCCTCATAGGAGAGGAAGACAGTTCTCAGTTAAAATACCATCACATTCACAATATTTCATCAGGGTCTTGGGATGAGTGGTCAGGTAAATACATGGGATCTTCATTTCCAGACCTCAAAGGGAAAAAAAGCAAAAGTGCTTGTGATTTACAACATGTCCTTCTGAGTGGCTGAAACAAAAGTTTGCATTACAAAAAAAAACCTGGTATGGTCAAAAGCAGTTGTCATGGCTATATGTATACCCACTGCTGCATATTCTTATGTCAATGTACAACACAGACTGCTAGTGGGGAGTCTGATGGACTCACCCTGACTTTAGAGGGCGCCCTTTACAAGTCTACTACAGAGCTGTGTACAGAGAGAGCAGCATCAGCTTCAGATATTGGAAAGAAAATGGCTGTTCAATATTTGTATACCAGATAGCTTGCAGCTACTGAATACAACGGTCCGTGCACACTGGCGCATACACCTCTCAGTTTGTTTCCAACAATGACACTTATGTTGCAACTCTCTCTATAAATGACTCTAGTCTTCTCTAGAGCTATTTTATTGGAAGAGTTGTGGTAAAACTCAAGGTAACGAACCAAATTAATGGCAACCACCTATTTTCTGCACAGTGGGGTTACATCACTTACAGAATGTATGCCATAAGCTGAATAATCCTTGGCAAGCTAATGGATTCAAGAGGGATTCTGCAGAAGGGGAGGGGGGCGTTAAATTGATCAAAAGGTCACTAACCTCCTTGTCGCAAGTTGCTAAGTAGACGTAGCACTTGAACTGCTTAGATATAGTACATGTTGTGTCACTGAAACATGCAACATGACAAAACATTTCAAGACATTAAGCAATCATTATATTTCGCTGCAGTGAATGCTCTAGTTAAACAATAGCATATAAATGACAGCTCTTCTTGTATTACAGGCCAACTATCTGTCTTCAACATGAGACAGATTTTCACCGAGCTCTAATATTTCTGTTTCAAAATCATGACAGATAATTTCATGCCAGTCTATCTGTTCTTTACAGAAAGTAAAAGCAGTTGCCAGCCAGTTTGTACCACCGAGATCTCAGTTTTACTGCACTGATCGAGAGAATCTAGAATTGAAGGTGCTGATTTCCTTATTTAAGTTAAGATAATCTCATCAATCTCAACGTATACATTTGCCAAGAACTTTCTTTATGGCTACCGCGACTACTGAATGTTTTATCTGAGTCAGAAAAAATAAGACCAAGTCGATTTCTGAGTTGGGTGGGTTGCGTATAAATTTTGGTACAGTGCTGCAACAGTGCAAGTCCGAGTCACAGACACAAAAACTGTGACTCGTTTGGACACGACATTGAGTCTGAGTGTATATACAACCGTAGTCCAGACACAGAGCATCAACTCACCCTGCAACGTATGCAAAGTAGAGAAGTGCATCAACCCGGCGACCACAGGATGAGATCTCGGGGTAGCAGTGTTTCATGACGACACGATCCCCGTCTGAAGACTCCCAGGTAATCAGATTGGTCTCTCCCAACTCCAAGTACACATCCTGGAGGTGCATATGTACATGTACGCCACTCACCAGGGTGAGGATATATCAGCCATGCACCCCAAAACAACACACTACCCCCTTGGCAGTCAATGCATCAGGTTTAAACATGCACCCCCTAGAAACACATCAGCTTGGCATTCTCGTCCCAAGTTTATGCAACCCAAACTCTCGCTAATGACATGCCAGAATAAGTAAGTGCCTCAAATATTGATCTGCAGCTCAGAATTTCTGAATAATTGTGAAATACAGAGTGATGTCCTGATCCCAATGATCTGCAGGTTATAACATCAAGAGAGGCTATCTGCAAGCTCATGTCAAAACAATCATTCAGACACTCCCAAGCGGCCGTCAAATGCTAGTCTATGTTCTCTCAATCCATGACTTACAAGTCGTCCTCTTAATCCTTCTTCCCTTTTTTCCTCTCTTGCTTTTAAAACCAGAGCATCTTTGCATTTAGGAGTCAAAGAGTCGTCAAAGTTAATTTTTATCATGCCACATACACAGACATCTTACCTTATATGTCTGTAGGAAACGACAGATTCAGCAAATGCCATGAAGGAAAATCAAACACAAAGAGACAAAATCACGAAGGGCTCAAACACATCAATATTCACAATGTGAAACAATTCTCTAGGCTAAAGACACTGTTATTTTTACCCAATGACAACATGCACATATCTGTATTAGATGAGAGTAGCCCTGACATCCGGGCCCGTTGCCAAAGGGAGGGGGGGACGAGGGAGCCGAGGCCCCTCCAGTGGGACGGTGCCCCCCCTAAGTAAAAAGCATAACCATGAAATATATATTTTGTTCCTGTGATGTGCCCTCCCCAAGCTGATACAGTAGCCCCCCTTAACGCCAGAAGCTGGCAATGGGGCTGCTGACACCAGACCACGGCAGAGGTGCACGTACATGTAACAGTGGCTTGTGGGAGGTTTGTCCCTGATTGCATAGTACGCAGCAACAGTATATTTAAGGAAGTTCACCTTGGAATGCACAAGTGTGAAAGAAAGGAATCCGACTACTTGATCAAATCAAACTTCACCATGCAAATATGGCAAATTTAAAGGTGAAATCTTGTGAAGTTTGTGGACATAAACAATGGCTGGCAGCATTTTCCACTTTACTTAACAAATGTCAACATGGCAGAAACTGGATGATTTGCAGCAGCACTATGGTCTTTTGGCTCTTTTGAGTTCCCTCCTGTAAATCAATCATGTTTCAACATCTACAAGTTGGCACTTATTTTTTTGGCTTAAGTCTGCATTCTCTGTTTGAAAAATGTGTTCCCGTTCTTTTTCCTGGCAATCTGGATGTGAACCTCATTCTTAAAACTGATTACAACATAAGAATGACAAAGGAAAAGAATTAACACTAACCGTCGGGTTACGGCCTTGTTCTTGAAGTACTTTCAAGATAGCACCTTCAATGACTGAGGTCCCACCCTCCTGAATACATGTAGGACACAAATGGCTCAATTTTAATCTTAAAACATGCACGTACATACAATGCCGTCTTGTTCAGCATCTGCACTAAAAATGCAAAAAAGGCAAGCTGGTGACAAAACAAATACACAGCAAAAACTTGCCCAGATTTTGAGTTCAACTTGCAAATTGAAATTCTTGAGATAGAGCTCAAACAAAACTTGAACTTTATTGAATCACTGTTCAAAATGCAAAAACTGAATTCCAACTGCCTTACCTTGCCAACATCTGTGCACCCTACATACTTCACTTTATGAACAGAACTGAAACAGATAAAAAAAAAAGAACTAGGTTTCTGGCATTTGTGAAACGTGATTTTTTACAAAAGGTTATTCAGATCCCAAATGAAACTGAAAAGTGACAGAAAATATTGAACAGGCAAATTGACTTAAAATTTTTGCATCACGAAGGGAACTTGCAAAAAACCGGCGACAAACCAATCCTTGACAGGGACGCACACCCACAGCTAGATTGGAAATCAGCAGACAAGAAGGTCGTCCAAACCAACTGGAAAGGTCGTCCAGAGTGTGGTGGACAATCAAATTACAAAAGGGATTGCAATCTGACTCTGTTCATTCCCTATACAGTTACCGGCCAGGCCCGGAGCTTGGCGACAAAATATCAATAAAACATCATTTGCTGTCTGTTTGGCTTTCATTACAATGAGAGCCTCCCGAGCTATCCTGGATCAGATTGCTGCAATAAATTTAGCAAAGTTATGGATGGCTACAAAAAAAAAAAAAAACAAAAAAAAAACCAGCCGGCAGAGTTTCCTTTGTTTTGTCATATTTTTAAAGATTCACTGCATTGTAATTTCATGGGGAATTGTCTTTTGGCATTTTGAGGATACCACAGAATTTACAGTCAATATTGTTTACTGTTGGGGAAAGACTTACACTGATAAAGCTCACAGAAATTGGTTACTTCAATTGAATGGACATGTACCTCTATGCAAATGCCATCTCCCCCAAACCAAAGAAATTTATCTTAGAAGACCTTTCCCTCTACTTCCTCAACATAATGCACCTTTGACAGACTATTTTCCAGAGGACCTTACATACGTGTTCATGTAAAGATGGAGTAGGTCGGGTAAAAAGCCACAGGGTGAAAATTTACACTTCGAAACGCACCCAAGGTGGTGAAAATTTGCCCTCAGAAGATAAAATTACAAACCCTTGTGTCTGGCAAACAAGAAACACGATACCCTGTTCAATCAAATAAAATGCCATACTGGTAACAGTCCAAGGTGGGTGATATTTTAGCTGTGTGTCTGTCAGGCTAGTAGCTGGAGGGAAAACGGGAAAGTCAAACTACCTATGAACGGGTAGTTCTGAGCGTGCATTTGGACCTCATGTACTATACACCCCTAATCATGCTGAATTCAACTAGAGCCTGAATATAGTCAGTGGTCCCTGGTGGTTAGGGTTTGATTGAAAAGGCGAAAGGCGAAACTTTAAGTCAGTGATAACCTTTGATAATATTTGCCTTGATTTAAAAAAAAAAAGATGAAGAATCAAGTGTACGTGAAGGGGCAGGGAATGGGGATGGAACTTGATCTTTCCAAACCACGAACCATGAAAAATTAAAAAGGGGAGGGGAGCTGACACGTGTTGGAGAGGGGGAATTACCAGAGGGTTCTCAGTCCGGGGCCGAAAAAGTTTGAAAGTGGGTTAAGTACTGGTAGGTGTAAAAGTACCGGAAATATGGGGTATTAAAAATATGTACGCGGGGGATCTGACTAAAAACATACTGAACATCAATGGCTAAAGACAGAGTATCCTACCCCTCTTTCTGATAAACTAAATTGTACTGTTGAAAGGCTCTGGCCTTCATTTGGCATGTGAAAGTGTGAACACTTGTGTTGGTTTTCTTGTGTGGCTGGCGATGACTTACCAGCAAAAGGATATGTATAATCTGGCAACACATGATGCGCCATGCTAGCTTCACATCGATCATCCGTAAAGAGTAAGTAACATTAGTCCACAATACAACATCCATCGCTTTTTTTTGCTAGCCAGAGTCACTTGAACTTATAATTCACACATCCATTCTTTGATTTTACATTTTCACCACTTTCAACTTCCATTTTGACATGTTTAGAAGACGAAACTGAACTCAATGCCCAACTGTGATCCATGAAATGATGCCCATGTGTTGTTAATCCACAATGTTGTATACATGTACATGCTGCATCCAGCCGCTCACCAGACCATTTGATGCACGGGCATAACTGGTTCCATGTTTGGCCATCTAAAATGAACTCGAGTTATGTGAGAACTAGTGAAAGTCAGCTCCTCGTAAACTGGATTTTTGCATATGTGTATATCAAACGATGGTGCTTGTACAGTACCCATACCATGTGTATTAAGAGACAGAACAGGCAGACTTAAAGAGTTAGTCTCCTGAAAAAAAAAGGTGAAACGACACACACTGACCTTCCATTTAGTCTGTGCGAAATATCTTGCTCATCTTTGTTCTGGGATGACTTCTTCTTGTGGTTTAGATCTCTATCGATAGGCATCGTGAAGCCCTCAAACTCATCCCTCAAAACGGAGAGGTGGTCCTTCACGTTGTAGAAGACCTTTCCATTTCGCAAATGGCACTTTTCGAAAGCAAAGAAAAGTTCAGCTTGATTGTGATAATGGAGTTCATTTCCGGCAGTAGGCATCACAAGTTGACTACTGGAGATGAGTCTGACTGAATTTGTCACTAACACTCAATAGACTGTACACATCTGTCGGCCATCTTGAATTGAAAGTGAGGTACATCTTTTCATTTGGGAAACACGATCGTTAAAATGATAGTGATGAAATAAAACTTCTGTACAAATTCATGTCAGTTTTTGTTTAGAATTTTTAAAAATTTGTGATAAATTACATCTAAATGTTTTAAACAACATTCAACATTAAAAAAAGAAAGCGAGGTTTGGAACCCAAGTAGTCTAACACCATCCCACTGAATAGATTACATTAAATATGATAGATTCGGGGAATGAAATAAAAAAAATGGCTTCCCTGTGACTATAAAGGACTGTTGAAATGCTGGAGAAATCCATCTATTTTGAAGAGTTCAGTTAAGAGTGAGGTGTCTTTGCACTTGACGTTTTTCTCTCAATTCACTCAGAAGACACTAAATGAACAGAATTTTAATGATTTATGTATTTTACATTAATAAAACAGAAATCTGGCCGCATTTACAAAGGCATCAATTCCACACATGAAAATGATGACACCCTGAAAGCCAACTGCGCTGTTTCTCAATTATTTTCTGAGGTTAAAGAATCACCAACACTGTTACAGAACAATCGGAGGTGTCTGTTCTCTGAACAAAGGAATGATCATACCTTTATTACTGATATGTAAATTGGCCACCCCTCGTGCTGCTTAAGTAACGAGGGAATCTGTGCAGAAAAACAGATGGAAAGAAAGAAACGGCATGAAGCATTTGCATTGTTTTCTTCACCGGACCTCTCTCCTCATGTCCTATTTTCATGTTTCAGCCAACACAGGATGAGATTGCTCATTCTGTTTTAGTCAGGACATGTGAACACGATCTGGCAGTCTGCACAAACGACGGCGGCTGACGAGCGGTTAAACTGCCTCGTGAGCCCTGAGTCACTGCCGGCAGATATTTCTGCCTGCTAATCCCCACATTTGTTCTGTGCACACGGGCAAAGTCACCCAGGTCTGTGGAGGCCTGATAGCGTGTTGAACTTGATCCTACAACTGTTGTTTAAACGACTACTTGAAGTGAACATTTGTGGCGTTTGGCGGTGTATCAAAAGTCGAAAGGGATGGCCAAATTAATGACCATCCACAAGTGGCTGAATAGATGTACGTGTATATCATCGCACAGGTGAACGCAATCCCTAAATGGATAACGAGGAGAAATCATAAACAGCAGAACCGTCATTAGGTTTAGAGTAATGCTCTTACCCTGCTCCCTTTCTTACTGCCATAGAGAGATTCCCCATAGAGTTCATCCAGGATGTCACCGGGCTCTATCCTGTCCTGTACAAATAAAAAAATATACTGATTGTTTCTTGTAATGAAACCAAGGATTAGTGGCATAACTGGGGTACAGGTTGCGGGGGGGAGGGCACTTAAGGGGTTCCGGTCAGTTAAAACACTGGACTATCATCATTTTGCCCTCCTCTTATTTCTGATGGGGGAGGGGCAGAGACCTCAAGCCCCCATACCTCACCCCCTGCCTTTGTTACGCCACTGCCAAGGATTCCTTACATGCACTCCAGGCACCGTTGCATACAAACCTGTGAGGGGGCAGTGAGAAGAAAAGTACAGTCCCAGCGGCGCAACTGAAGCCCTGGTATCTGCAGATTGATGGAGCCGATTTGAGCCTGCTGTCTTATTAAACAGGTTATTCAACCCAGTGTTGAATTTGAGTCCATCACAAGTCCCTGCAGGTCCTTTTAAGTCCATCACAAGTCACTCTGTCGTGAGCCCATTCACAAGCTATTCAAATGAACTGTGACAAACGCATTCTTTTGTCATTGTTCACCCTGTTACTTATGACTGGCCTTGTGAAGGGACTTGTGACTGGATTTGTGAAAGGACTTATGATGGACTCGATTCCAACACTGATTCAACCTCATGAGACAAGAGTTGGAAATCAATTGTTTGGGACTTTCTCACTCAGAAGCACTGTGGGGCAGGTTCGAGTGGCTACCATTAAATAGTCAACCACTAGTCAATTTTCCCTGGCTCCATGTGCACTACACTGTAGGTGCCAGGCAAAGCCAACTGGTGGCTGACATATGGGTGTCCTTTGAACTTGCCGATGGGTAACAGTGAGACTACTAGAGAGTACTTTATAATTACAATGACCACCCCATGGTAATCCTCTGACTTTGTCCATCCTGACTGGAAGCATCTCCTTCCGGACAAAGAGGGGAGAAGTTACACTTGTGGGGACTGCAGATTCAAACATAAATTGGTCGTGCTTGCTCAGCGCACCCGACTAAACCTGTGCACACAGATGGCAGGTTACTGCTGTGTGATAGCACACCAGCTCTTGTTGCACATTGGGCAAATAATCCCATCTAGTCTGCCCACTGTGGGGGGGAGGAGGGAGTGAGGCCAGTACAGGATTGGTTCAATGATCCCCAGAGAAAACGGCCTTGGGGGGATTAATATCTCTGCTGAATGATGCGGCTTGGGATTATTAATGGGTGTAGTTGCTCACATTGCAGTGCTGCAGCAAGTAATTTCAGGTACCCAGTTCACTGCCAAATACTAAACTGGTTATCAAAGTGTGAATGAAGCATGAGAACATGGACACTGAATGGTAAACACTCAAAAGCAAGATTACAAAATAAACGTAGATTGCTGATTCTCACAGTTCTGCCACAAATAAGTTTTTATGAGAAAGTACATGTACTTGAGAGGTACTCAGTTATGTATTGAGCCGGTACTTTCTCCTCTAAAACTTAATTTGTACACAATTGCCATGAAGTCATTATTTTGTTTTGCAGTGTTACCCTTGAACATTTACATACCATCCATTTTTTCCAGGTTTATTCATACCAAACCAACACTTAGCAGTCAAGCTGCCTCTTGAAAAGTACTCTTCCACAACATCAGTTCAGAGTGACAGGAACCCATGATGCTATTTGAGTGACAACTGGTGGAAACTTAATTCCAACTCTTGTAACTCGAGTTACTCAACCAAGGCTATCACGACTCACTTTGTGGGCTGCTACACTGTCGGGCTTGACTTTGGCCACAAAGACCCGCTGCTTGATGTTTTTGATGATCACCCCTAGGTCCTTGGACGGAACAAACTCGTACTGCCGGTAGACAGGCAGGGTCCATGTCTCGTCGAGAAAACTTGCATTCTGAAAGGAGACATTAAAGTACATCAGATTCACCTTTTGAAAGTTATTCACAGTTTTCTATTAATAACTTCAATGAGTTCAGTTCCTGACTGACATTTCATCTTTCCCATGACATCATTGAGTATGATTTACCTTTATATTGAGTTCGAAATGGATTTCTGAGGCCCAGATTAGAAGTGATGTCAGCGATTCTGGGGAAACAAGTTCATGCAGACAATGAGTCAGTTCTTTTAATGAACATTTTTTAATTATTGCTTACAAATGAAGTCAAAGTCAGGGCTCAATTGACAATTTTACTTTCCATTCCAAACAACATGTGGAGAACAACTTACCTACTAGAAGTTCACTTCCAATAATTGACATCAATGGGTCATACCATATCTGTGTATAAAGGAACAACCACAGCTGTTGAATTTGTGTCATTCCAAATTATTTGCTAGTAACAACTATACATGTACACTGTATGTTGGTACATGTACAGTAGCAATGAACAGCATCAGTTATGTTTAATAACACACAAAAAGTTGCCACCTTTAATGGGCTCGAATATGCAAACCAAACTGACCTCTGACATTCTGCAACCCTAGATATTACAGCCTCGTGGCATCAGCCGAGATGCATGGCTGACCATGCGTAACTCATCCACAAACAGTCTATACAATCAAGCGATACTGTTTCAGCATGCACAGGGTACGTACACCATGTTTACCCTTTCGCCTGGTTTTACTGTTCAAATATTAATTATGATGCAGAGAAACCACAAACAGATGTTCACAACTATTGGTTGCCTTATTGACACGTTTGCTAACAAGCTGGCAATTATAAATTTGCATTACAGGGGTGAGATTTTGGAGAAAAATAAAATATCCACGAAATGAACACCGGAGGTTTTTGAGGGCCTCACAGCAGTGTAGGGTCTATGGTACATGAATACATTTGTGTTTGCCCCATAACACCCCTGAATTAAAATACCAATTTCTTGTGCTGTACATTACTTTTCAGATGACAAAACATCTTAATGGTACACTCAAGACTTTCAAGATGTTAAAAAGAGATTGTTCAAAATCCCGACGAAAAATTCTGAAATCAGGAAAACTCCGGACACATCTCATTCCTGGTCTCATTTTCGTTCCCAGCAAACTCTGTGGCAATTTATGCCACTGTAGGAAGCTTTCTAAACCCACCCAGACCAAGCTCTTTGCAGTAAAGCAATGGTGCATTTGTGTGAAACATCGAGGCCTATGCGAGACAATATTGAAGAGTTCGCTGTACTGTCTTATTCCACCAAAATGCCACAATGTGAATTTTGGCTTTTGTGGTTTACGGAGGCCTACACGTGACATTTTCCAAAATCTGAAAGCAATATCCCCATGCAGCATCCCCAAGTAGAAAAGAATAACAAGTAACCAATTTTATTTTCCAAATGGGGAGAGGGGTTCACACATGGAAACAAAATTCCTGGCTGCAAGAACCACAGTAAAGTCCAAAGAAAGATTTCATTATAACTTCAATACATGTGCCATCTTGTAAAAAAAAAGAATCATGTTCATGAATGTTTCTAGGTAGAGTAGAAATTTTAAGGTTGAGGTCTGAGTAAGGAGATTTGAGAGAGGTTCAAGAAGTTTGTCAGTGGTTCAGCTTTTAAAGAGATGGGGGTTAACCCCAACCCTTCTCAATCCTGTTGGAGGACTGAGGAGTGTTAGGGTTAAACTTACTTCTAGCATCCGGCAGTTCTTGAGCAGATGCTCGATGGGGACGGCAAGAATCTTCTTGTGGAGGCAGATACGCAGCAGCAAACGACCACGCCCCTGATGTGTTCTCACCTAAAGCAGCCCAAAATCATCCCAATATTTTGAGTTAGTAGACAGTTTAGGCTGACCAACCACAGCCAAGAGGCCCAGCAATCCAAAGTAATGGGAGGAAAGGAACGCAACTCCTCCCTGCGTGTGGTTCTGGGCCAAAACTTTGAGGGTTTTGGAACTCTTTTCAGGAAGAAACCTTTTCAAGTACCCAACCTCTGTTAACTACTCCAATTTTTCAAAATTGTTTCTTTTTTAGTCAAGGGAAATGCTTAGACCTTATCGGTAAACATGTATGGTATCTTAGTGATTTTTGGTCATTCATATAACAAGAATGAACTGCATGTATCGGTACACTGGATGTAAAAGTTTACTTCTTCTTCATGTATCACAGTAAAACCAAGGCAATGCCTAATCACTCATCATAAACCAAGCATGAAAAAATCCCAATTGCAAAGCCTTTGAACTTACCAAAAATGTCCCTTTCATATCATCGAATGTTCAATGCATAATTTTAAACCTTCCGAAAAAGTTGCAGTTAAGCTATGCACAATGCCTCATGAGAGAGTTTCAAAAAACGAAATTCTTGTGCCCCTAGTATACATGCATGTAGCATAGCTCGTTCTGTGGGTATATATGCACATGTAGAATGGGATAGAATGAAACTGACGAAGCTACATGTACATTCCTCCATACATGAATACAATATGTACATGTACATGTACAATGTACTTAAGGCTATACTGGTATAAATGTGCATGTGCCACACTGCAGTACCGGATGGGTTAACGTTTCTAGTCTTTAAAAGGATGCATATATGGAATGTGCGAAAGATTATTAAAACTGAATAGTGCATGTACATGTATGTCACCAGTTCTCAAAGATTATAAAGGCCCCTTGTTACAAACATTCAAAATATACAGCTGTATTGAACTTGGTTTGAGCTTCACTCTACCTTGGTGGATGACTTGCAGGCTTCAATGGCTAATGAGAACATAGGATGCAGCCTGCATAATGAGAAATGAGCAATGCGACAATGTAACGCCAGACTGGCAATACTGCAAAATCCATTACTAATACCAAGCTGTGAATGGTATGAACGAGAGCAGACGAAAGTGATATATAGGTAGATGTATGCATAGTTATTCCATATGGCCACTTTACATGTAATTATTCTTTCTGATAAATACCGTAATGAACACACAGAAGAATTAAACAGTAACAAAATCCAATGCAGACAGTATGATCGTTTGCACAGTACTGTGGCACACTAATTTAGTGTAACCGAACCAAAGTGAAAAAACCTCACAGGCACTTCAGAAACGGTGTGGTGATTAGGTCCTAATAAGTTGGGTTCAAGCAGGTGGAAAATTATGACATCACAAGAGAAAACAGGCAAAACTGCAGGGACCAGATATGTATAAGGTTTGGGGTTCAGGGTTTGGTCAGTGTTATGGATGACACGTCCTGACAAAATGCTACATGTACATGTACCTGTGACAATTTCAATTTTCATTTATTTTTAATATGAAAGATACTTTTTCAGCATATTTTAATTTAAAAAGTGATTCTAAAAACTAATGACAGATCTTGAATTTATCACAAGTATTCTACTTACTGTCCAATTACACACACAGTTTAGGAAATACAAACCCCCCCCCCAAAAATCAGGACAGAAAATACACATTAAAAGGAGAGCTAACAAGCCCTCGACTGCATTTCACATGTTTTTACATTATGAAAAGTGTTCCACAATTGGGACTCCCAGAATTTCTACAGCAACTGTCATAAGCGAGGGTAACCTGTATTGAAAAAGGATGTTTGAAAGCCATGCGTCTTCCAGTCAAACATGCCCATAAAAAGAGATCTTTCCATGCATTCCCCAGTACTTCAGTGACAACAGCCGGCTGACTCCCCCTTTGGTTCAAACTGTAACACTTTCTTTGTCAGTAGACACATAAATCATTGTGATCATTCAAAACTTCTAAGTGTGACAAATTCCATCAAAATATTCAGGGCGGCGAGACAAAACGTGACAAAACTATAGTCACTACCTCAAGCGGAAACATTTTCCATTTTACATGGAAACTTGGTTGTGTCTGGCCAGCTGACTATACATATACCTGTAAGTACTGGATGGAAGAACTGTTTTTTTAAGCCATATGGATGGGCATTTGGCAACAATTTAAGAATTTAGAGGGTCAAAAACATTCATTGAAAGAGGCCATTGGAACTGTGAGCAGCTTGGTGACCGGAGAGCCCTCAAAATCTTTTGAGATCAGGCGGTCTGTTTTTTTTCCACCATAGCAAATGACTATTGCCCTTAAACACATGTATGGAAGACACAGTGCATTTAAGCAAATTAAATTTGATCTTCCTGATGTATCATTTCTTAAAGGGGCCATGTAATGGAATAAATTTACTTCAACTCTTGACACTGTACCTTTGGGTTTCAATTAACCTTTTTTCCACATCTGTTTTGCTATTTTAATGGAATTTGAGGGGCTCTTTGGTTTAGTGCAAAGTAAAGCAACTTTGCATATTCATGAGCAAATCTACATCATCTACATGTATGCAGTTAACCTTAAAATTGCATTGCTTTGTGCACAAACACATGCTGGATTCTTTTTATAGACCACAATCACAAATTTCCATTTACATGTAGATTCAGACAAACTCAGCAATAACCCTCGGGGTTCCTGCTGACATGCTTTAATGCAATGATAAGCACAATTCATTTTCCCCTCCAAAATTGCTGAGGATTATAACCAAAACTGAATGTATTCCCTGTATAACGACAATGGCCAATGACAGCTACAATCCCTGTCTGGCACTATCGCAATATCCAACCTAAATAAACCTTTGCTGTGATACCGTCTGTGCTTTCCATGAACCAACTGAATATGATGTATAATTACATGTATTTAAAAGATACTGTTATCAAAACCCCGATGACCATTATTTCTGGCAATTAATCAGGGTTTTTAATAGCAGTGGCCAAACGGGCTTTCCTGTTCATAAATTTTTATTGTCTCGACACAATACTCAGATCATGCAGTCTAGAAACCAAGTGAGATGAGGTGTGGCTTTCTGCTCCGCTGAGTAATGACAATACCAAAGCCTGAACCATTACGGCAGACGTCCTGGTACTGGTGATCAGATAGCAGATGCTGCTGTATTTTCGAGGGAACTTTTTTTTTCTTTTTTCGAGCCTTTTCAACATGTTCAAGGGAAAATAAAGGCCAGGAGGCCGTAAAGCAAGGAAGCCATACATTATCAAGCCACTGGCTACAGTCTGGAGTTGCATGTAGGTCTAGGTCTTTGATCATTGGGAATACGCAGGGGCGTGCTGACCATTGACATAGCCAAAGCCCCAGAAGCCCATTTCAGACACAGTCATTGTCGGCATCCCGTCCAAGCCAAATAATGTCCATATTATGTATACCTTTCACTTCCAGGAGAGGTGGTCAGAGACTCCATCCAACACCAGTAGTCCCGCTTGTACAAGCCAAACAAAGATCCAGGCTCTGAAGGCAGGAAGTAAAGTGAAGTATTAATGAGTCTGAAATGATAAATAATGTGGTCTTCTGCAGGTTTTCTTCTCGTTTCTCAACAGCTGCAATACTAACCATTTTAAAATGGATTCAAATTTACTTCAAACTTATTTCTTCATAGATCCAGATACTGGTGATAGATTAATGGTTTTTAGAAAAGGACCCGATTTCACAGGGCTCCCTATACCCGGCAAGGTATGAGACGGAGGGGTACCCCCCTTACCTGTCCAATCCCTATACACACTCTAGACTACTGTTACCTAACACATCCCCCCTAGAAGTTTGTAAAGAATTCCTGAGATTCCGATCAAACAATGACAAACACAAAGGCGGGGGGCGTTCTCTTCGTCCCATATCTCGCTTCAAATGGGGACCCCAGGCATGTACTGTACTCAACAAATCTGTGTGGTTAGCAAAAATCTGTGCCAGTTGTGAACAACATTGCATCAAATACTGTCAAATGACGATTAGTAACCCGACTTCACAACGCAAATTTAGAACTCTCATAAATGTGTCCACTGCAATTCCCCAGTATTTAGACGGCAAAAACATGTCATGCAAGCAAACAGACTGGTGCATAAAGCAATCATTCTGGAACTGTGAGGGGTTTGAGTCTCCATTTCCATACATTTTCTCCATTTTCATGCAACCAAGTACAGTAACTTTCAACCTGTATGAAACATCAAACACATGCCAGTTGAAATCATTTGGCTTTGACTTCGAGTTGAAAAGTTACAGAAATTCTGGCTGAAAAAAACAGAAGTGATAATTTACATGAAGCTGTAAATTTTGAATTTAGACCCCAAACCTGGGATGAGACAACGCTATGAGATTTCCATCTTTGCTTTGAGGTGATTTGGGACAATTTTGTTGGATACAGAGTTGGTCCAGTTTCCTATACTCAGAGTCCAATTCTTGAACATTTTGTGCTCAGCAAATCCACCTGCTTGAAATGCTACATATAGCTCTATTATTCAAATTCAATTCAAATTCAAATCAGGTTTAATGCGAAACACCACCAAAGAAGAAGTCCAAGGACTTATACTCTTCAGGTTACATAAATAGTCAGAAAATAACTATTAAAAACATAAAATTAGAGTTGGTTCTTTAAAGCATTCTTGCCTGGAACCTCTCTCAATCCTCCCAAATCCTCCACTGTGCAGGAAACCAACAGCACACCTTTTGCACTGTCAAGAAGTGCTGACCCCTACATAATGTGCAACAGTGGTTGGGTTGTCCTATACATGTACCAGCCTAAATCTTTCAATCCAGAAATGTCCTGGTGGATCTGGGAGGGGTTACAGATTTTAGTCTGGCCCCCAGATGCTCACTTACTCTTGAGTCCTTTGCGGAGGATGCATTCCACGGTCTCACAGAGAACCTGAAGGTCTGAGTTGCTGTCCGCGATTGGCTGCTTGGCCTCCTTGAGCCTCAGCAGAACAGCTGCAGGACATGGGGGAAGATACAGACGATATGTGGTATTTTCAAGTCACTTTTTGCAGTGATTGTTGGTCAATATGCTTTGTATTTATAAGAGCACATTTGATGTTAGGCAAATATTTAAATTTATTTAGGAGATATTTCAGAAATGTTCACAACTCTCCCAGGTTTTGTGCCATTTGAAATTTTGAATGCCACTTTCTCTCTGAAATTGACATTATTTAAAATGTATCTGCCCATGATCTATGCACAATTGCTGATCTGCTAACTTTTGTAACAAAAGTACTGCCTACAATAGAATACACATATGATCACAAATTTCAAAGTTCATACAGAAGCAGATTTTTCTGAAACACATTTAAATACACACCTCACTTTGATAAATGCCCTTCAATCACGGCCACTGAGGTGTCATACACATGTAGCGGATTTTTCAAATCTATGATTTGTCTATGAATATTTTATTTACAACTGAGTTTCCATAACCCTACTAGCACCATGAATAAAAAAGGCCATCATTCTTCCCATTTTCCCCTCCCTACAGCTGAGTACATGTACACTATACTCAAAGATCTGATGGTTACAGAAACCAAGTCCACATGTGAAATGATTTGTCAGTCGCGAACTACCACTTTCAACTGAAGCAAGCTCAAATTTCACACTATCCCATCTGGAGGTACCGGTATTTGTAACCCTGTTTTCCTTCCTCCATGGTATAGCACATTACTTGATCCTATTATTACACACCGTCCCAGTTTGGCATTTATGATCCGTGTCATGGAATGATTTATAATCCACGTGTCGTCTATCTATGGCAGATTTTGCTCTGAAAAACTTCAGTCCACTGTGTTCCACGCCTCTGCAACCCTATTTGGTACACTACTGGGTATTACATTGAACTTCATCAGTCAACTCTACTGTACTTTGACTGCTTGAATGTACATTGTACATGTACACAATCAGAATGTGAATGGCTGAACAATGACCGCTCTATTTACACTCACACAATACATGTAAGCCATGCCAAAAGTTGCAGTCTTTTCACAGTACTGTTACAGAAGCAAATTCAGACTTTTAGTCGGGGGGGGGGCAACATGACATTTTTCTGGCACGATCTGTCCAATTTTTTTTTCATCTGTCAACGAACAAAGTGGAGAACCACCCAGAGAGGACTAAGCCCTTTCTGCCAACTTTGCTAACTGGTTCTTGAAACATGGCATCATTGGTCACTGCATCTTTATTGATGAATGCAGATATGACAGCCCCACATGGCATTCATACTGGAGAGCAGTAAAAAAAAAAAGACAGCCTGTTCACAGAGTGGTAAGCAACCATCATGGACACAACTGCAATGTTACACATACACGTGTACGCGTAGTTGGACTTGTTCACCAAGCCATAAACCTGAATACCACAACCCAATGCTTCATTTGAAAACATTCTGCAAGAAACGGCTGAAGCCTGCCAGCAAATATTGTTGCAGGAAGAGCACCGGCACTTTGCCTTTGACAATGCAAGGCCTCTTGGTCATGCTGAGCTACCATCAGGGAACGGGACCACTGAACTGAAGCATCTTCCTCCGTTCACCCCATTTCTCCGTCCTATTGAAATTGTACACTCCTGCTTGAACGCTAATGTGACAAAAAATACATGTACATGTTGCAACTGGGTCTACCTGAAATGTACATGTAAGCAAGGTTATCCAACAACCAGGCTGCCAGAAGAAAAAGCTTGACCATTCAGGGGTGGCAAACACTCTTTTTATTGGAAGCAGCTCAAAATAATGCGGATAATACCCAGCAAGTGTCAGAGATGGTACTGAACTACTCAAAAACATACATGTACCGGTACAATGTACCTCGCAAGATGCACAGCCACAGAAGAGATTGACGGTTGAAAATGGCATTACAAGTGCTGTATTTAGCAAATGTTGATGTTTATTCCTAACTTTCTTGCTACAATGCAAAGAAATAGTTACAGAAAATAAGAACATTCCATTTTTTCTTTGTCCCTTTATTTATGAAGAGAAACAAATGTGAGGTTTGTTTATCAGTGAAGGCCAAAACGCAGCTGCTGGGTACATGTAGTTGTTCTTGGAATTTTCATGCCGTAGGAAACAGACCAATTTCTTTTTGGTCCTTTATTTGTCAATTTCAAGTTTTTCTACCATTGTACCATGCTGAACACTTTGTGTGCATCATCAATTTGGACCCGAACTAACTTGGACCCATGCCAACTCTGACCCATACCAACTGGAACCCATGCCAATTTAAACCCTCCCAAAACCTACTCAGACCCACTGATAAAACAAATTGAAAAGGACTTCATGAAATAAAAAAAAAATACTCAGTTAATAGCCTTAAAGGCTAAGTTTGGCTTTGTTAGCCAAGCCTTATAGGCTAACAAAGCCAAACTTTGAACTAATGTATATATGTACATGTAAGTGCAAGGCCCCAGCAGCGTGGTTCTTGGGCTTGCTTTAGGACCCCTAATATATAGTGGGTTCTGTACTTTTTGTACTGTGACTGAAGCCATTTCTGACCTCTTCAACCACTTCTTTTGATCAGAATATGATTTTTTTTTCATTTTATTCAAAACATTTAACGTCACTTTTCCATAGAAAAAACATTTTTGATAATTAATTTGTATTAAATACACTCAAATGCATGTTCCTAATTCCAAATTTGTAACAAAATTATTTTCTCATTTTGAGCACATTTTTAACAGTTTTCCATTAAAAACAAAAATGGGAATTTCTGCAAAAATAAATGTAGGCCCCAGAATTTCATGCGATCTTTGTCTCTGGTGCATAAACTCAAGATTCAAGAACGGAAATATTGAGCTTGGTAGAATTTACCATATATAAATTGTTCCTCAGGTTGGGTCCAAGTTAGCTGTGGTAGGGTCCGAGTTGGCATTGGGTCGAAGTTACATGTAGCAATGGGTCCAAGTTGGCATGAGTCCCACTTGGGAAAGAGTTCCATATACAGACGCCACTCGACACCCTATGCACAAACCCTATGACACTGGTCGGAAAAATTCTAGGGCTTAAGTCAAGTGTTTTCCAAGTAAGTGACTTGGTATTTTCCCTCCTATGTCCTAAGTAGAACTTCTTTCCCAAATTGGTTTGGGACCGAGTTGACAGAAAACCCATCATACGGTCTGACGGTGCACAATGTGGCAGCTGTCGCGGGCCAATGGCCGAGCTACATTGTACATGTAGCTCTGCATGTCAACTTTTTACTGCACATGACCGGGCCCATAGCTACAGAGGCAGTCCTAGCAGTTAGCATGGTTGGTTAGAGGGGTTTCGAGTCAACTCGGATCCAAACCAACTCGGACCCATGCCAACTTGGACCCACAACCAACTCGGACCCATGTCAAGTCGGCCACAATACTAACCCGGACCCACGACCAACTCGGACCCACAACCAACTCGGA